GATTTCCCCACTAACCTTTTTCTTTTCAGGTGAGTCTCAATGCAACTCAGCTCAGCTCATGGATTCCAGCTTTTGCTGGGTCCGCGGTGGGACCACTGTGGGACCGCTGCAGGGCAGGCAGGCAGGGCTCCGGTTTTTAAGGCTTCTAAAATAATGTATTAGCAAAAGTTCTGATTCAAAATCCTACTGTTCGCATCACGCTGTGATGGTCAGTCTCTGTGGAGCGTAAAGTACTCTCTGGTATCCTCTCTACGCAGGCTGCTATCCCTCTGGCTCTTCACACCGTCTCCATCTTCTTTTTTTGTTATATTTTCTAAATCGCGCATTTAAGGAAGGTGTAGAAGCATGATTCAGCTTTTAAAACCCAATGGGGCATGCAACAATGAATGAATGGAAACACAAAATCTCTGTAAATGTTCATTAAAATGAATAAAATGTAATAAAAACAACAACAAAAAAAAACCCTACAGGGCAATTTTGTTGTGTTCTTCAAGAGAAAATACACAGAAAAATGTGTTAAAAGTAGTTACAGGAGTAAGTAGTGTTTAATGGTTGGTGTTTATGCTCTAGTGTCAGGTTGCAAGTTCATTGTTTAGCTCTGCAAACTATCAGCTATGTTAATTTGTGCACGCAGTGTCTCTATTAACTGGCATGATAATTTACTATTCTGATAGTATACTGATGTAGACCAGAGTGGAGAGCTTGGAAGGAGTTTACCATGACCATTCTCTGTAGTATTACTCAGATTAGCGGTGGAAATCTGGACTCTGGGAAGTTTCTATGAGTAAAGCTTCCAACCAGTTCATTCAAATTTGATCTCTTTCTGAGAGTTTGTATTTCCACCCCAGAAACACTGGATCAGAATTGTATTTTAACAAGAATCCCAAGTGAGTCTTAGGTAGCTGAGAAAGGGCACTAGGAAAGCCACAAACTTCCCAGGACAATTTGTGACAATTTGTTCTGTCCATGCTCAATCTTGGAAGCTTGTGGCACAGCAGGCACTGTTTTCTGGGGATGTCGGACTCAGGAACCAAATGGCCTCTACCTATTTTCTTTCTTTTTCTTAACTAATGCCTAACTATTTTTAATGCTTTTATTGTTTAAGTACTTCTCTTAATGGCAACATCATTCATGCTTTATGTCTCTGTTTTTCCTTCACATATCTTTTGAAATTTATTTCATCTTGTAACTTTAGGAGAATTAACCTTAATTTTGTTTTTTCTCTTCTTCTTCTTCTTCTTGGTTTGTTAAGCTCATCACATCTCTCTTTACCTGTTCCATTTCTCTCTTAACCTGTTTAATTTAGATGAACTTATAGAAATCTTGTAAATAGATTTAACTCTGAACTACATTGTTGTTGGGTGCCTCAGGGTAACTCATAACGACTTTCTATGACAGTAGAAGTGCTCCCTTAGAATTTTGGCTATAATCTTTATGGAGTAAGGTCACCAATTGTTTGGCCCTTGTTTGAACTCCCAATCTCTCAGCAGCTGTTGTTGTTAGGTGCCGTCAACTTGAGTATGACTCACAGCAACCCTAGAAACAACAGATATTCACCCTGTCCTATTCCATCCTTATCATCTCTGCCACAGTTCAGCCCATTGCTGCAACCACTGTGTCACTCCATCTTATCCAGTCCATAACTGTGCCAAAATAGGCCTTCTTTAGTTTTCTTTTGAAAGTTCTTTTAAGCTTTCTGTTTTCTTGCATAGCTCTATATTTTTTTTCTATTACTTTTCCTTTACAGTAGTTGGCAAGAAACATGTTCAAGGAAATAAAAATCAGGGAGAGTCTATATTTTAAATACTGTATAACAACACTGTTACAAAGCAGGACTGACATGGGAAGTTGGGAGAAGAATAGGAAAAGAGTGAGTGGATAATGAGCACTAAATTGGAACAGATGAGGAAAAAGAATCATTTAAAAGGAATATATGATTAGGAGTATATGAATGATGACAGTCCAGAATAAGAGGTACATTTCAAAGTTGACAGGGTTGGGGGTAAGAGAGGAAATTGTGCAACAATGAATGAATATTTTTTTTTACATTAACATTTTAAAAAGCAAGGCATCTTTAATAATAATTTTGACATTTAAAAACAAAAGACTTTCACAATGTTCATGAACACATCTTTCCATGATTTATAAATACATAAAATGTCTGAATAATTTTACAATGATAGATTCTGAAAGAATAAGAACTTTTAAAAAGCCAATCTAGACATATTCCATTTCATTCCAACTGTCCTTATTTTGTGCTGGTAATACCAAGAATCAGGCTCGTCACATTTATCCCAGCCTCTTTTTCTGAGTTTGTAGCTGATGATGAAAATGTGATAAATCTTCTATCTTAGCTTTGATGCTTTTTCATTAATTCACTTCTGGTTGTAAACTGTGGCAAATCTTCCACTTCAATCCCATCAGCCATTTCCATCACCTTGTCTAAAAGGTCTTTGTTGTAACTGCAGCCCAAGAAGAGGTGGTTGGCCCAGACCATGGAGAGAGACAGGAGCTGGTCCAGGCGGCCGCTGCCGTCGGGCGGGTCGCGGTAGTCTGG